AAACATAGATTAGAGTTATCTAAAAGTCCAATTTTAAATGTCAGAGCAATGTAAACTTTTGTATTATCCATAAATAGTTCCGAAATTCTCCTGACTGTTGGCAATCAAGAGTGAAGTCTTGCATGTAATTTCTTTACCAGGGGCTTGGTTAGCTCAGCTTAGTGAATCAACTAGGTAATAGTTTTTATCTATGGAGCAGCTATTTACTTAACTGGCCACATTTTTATCTTTTAACATTTTTAATGTCCAGCTAAAACTGTAAGAGTGAGAGTAGCACTTTCTTTACCAACATTTTATATTGTTTAGATTCATTGAAGTTGAAGGTAAGGTAACCTAAATGTTATTTCTATCCAGTAGAATATTTGTAGAGTTGGATTGTTCACTGGAAAAGGCAATAAGAGACCTCATAATGTGATATAATTGTTGATTACACCTTTGCTAGGATGTCAGAGGCTTTTCCATTGTAATGAAACTGTGAGTGAATGGGGACATCTTCTTTGCAACTGAAAAGATAATTCATTCTGAATTACCGTGCATCAATGCAGGGTGCATTGCGCTACTGAGGAGTGAGATGCTGCCTACAGAATAGGAATATCTGTGCTGCTCTAACCATGTGTGTCTGCGTCTGCCCAGGGGTCTCCACCTCAACTCAGCTCCTAAAATAATTATTGCATCATGACTGAAGCACACCAGTCTCCTGTGAACAAATCTGTAATGTTTCTGCAGCACTCTGCTTTTAAGTGTTGTTGTTAATCACAGTGATGTAGACCAAAAGCTGCAGGTTGCCTACATAGACTTGTGGGAGGCCAAGCTGGTTGGCAGCAGTCTTCTTTTTTATTAGGGTTAGAAAGCAGCATTTCATTTGTTTCATGTCACTTACTGAAAAATCTGTAAAAGACAGGAAACTGTTCTGGCAGTTCCAGAGAATGCATTACTATAGAGGGTAAGTAGTTTTCTCCGTTGCTCATTTGCTAGTGGAGAGATGCTCAGCTGAGAAGGGCCAGAAAAGGAAGTGGTAATCATTAAACAAGCAAATCCACCGGTTGCACTCTCCAAAAAAAATCATGACAGAACATACTTCCCAGTCCTAGGAGGTGCTAAGTCCTCTGTGCAGGGGGAAGAGGATGTACTTGATGCTGTGGGATGAAGGTGCTTAGAGCATCTCACATGGTCAGCTGCAGAATTTGTGCGTCTGGGCATGGGAACTGTGATCCACAAATTTCTCTCCTATCTGCAGAACTATTCAGACACAACATTGAAGTGTGATTTGAAAGTTCAGAATAGCAGATAGTGGTTAACTGTTTTTAAAAATGGGTCAAAAGTTGTCGTTTCCCCCTGGGTTTTTTTGAGACTCATTCCTTTGTGTTCCATCAGTTGAGAAAATGACCTCTAAATCAGTCATTTTGGTTAGTTTGGAGATTCTCTCTAGTTAACCTGTTCCATAGGGAAGAAAAGTTTTTAATGTGTCAATTGCCATTCCTTTTTTTTTCTGTTTTTTTTTTAGGTCAACATGTTTGTGGAAGGATTCCATGATGCTATTCTTCTTTATGCTCTAGCTTTACAGGAAGTCCTGAAGTTTGGTTTCAGTAAGAAAGATGGGGAAAAAATTGTTCAGCAAACACGGAACAGAACATATGAAGGTAAGAGTTAATATGGGATTCCAGCTTTCAGAGTCAAAAAAATTCAGGTCTTTTTTGTGTGCAGAGTAATGACCTGTGCCTATTCCACTCTTAAATGAGAGGAAAATAGCCATGTGAAATCACATACATCTTTAAGGCTGGCTCACATACCTCACCAGTCTGACTTTTTTTTGCACCAGCCTCTGAGGTCTTACTCCGCTTAAAAAACTCTTAACAATTTAATGACCCTCACTGATGCTGTAAAGAAACACCAATAATTTTCTCAGGCTCCTTTGTTTTTGAAAAGATTACAGCTGCTCGCTTTACTCCTGTGCATCTATTAGCTCTGAGACTGCCTCATTTTTTCCACTTGATTTTTTTATCTTAAAAGCCTGGGAATGGATAGAAGCAAGCAGATGCCGGGTGGTTTTTTTTTTTCGTTTCTTGATGGGGCTCCTTTGGGCCCTAGAAGGATTTGCCCCCAGCCTCCTTTCAAGAGCTGTGCGTGTTATCCCAGAGGGAGTAGCTGAACAGCACTGTGTCTTTCTGTGCCTGATCCTGTAGGTTGCAATTCCACAGTGCAACTGTCACTTGTATGTCACCCTGCTGATGGAAAGCAATCTGAGTTCTTTGGCCAGGTAGGGATTGTAATAAAGAAACCAAGGATTATTGCATTCATCTGTCATCTTTTATAATATTCCCATCAATCTCTTCTAATACTCCCAATCTTTTGGTGTAGGATTGGCAAGGTTTCTTGTGGAAATGCCTAGGAGAAGGAAACATTTCCCCTAGATAAGAAGCGAATTATATTTGAATGTGTAAGAAAAACCTCAGTGGCCAGATTCTCTGCTTTAAGAACACACTGGACATAGCAGAGGAAGGCGAGAAAGACAGCAGCTCAGAATCTCTTTTCTCTTCTCAAATTGTGACCTGAACACAAGGCAAAAGGGTCCCCAGGGCAGCTTAAGGCAACACAGGGATTGCTTTAAATTACGCTGGTTGCAGTCATCCTGGAAGGAGTCCTGCACCAGCTGGAGGTTGTGCTTGATGTCCCACTACCTCCCTTAGCATCCATGGCTTCTCAAAACACACTATTTTAACAGAGATAATCTAGTGTCTAAGGATTTGCCTCACTATGTGGTTATCCTGTGTATGAACAGGTGCCTGAGCGCAGCCTGTGTGTGTTTTCTCTACTCCTGCTTCTCTGCCTCGGGAAGCCACCAGCTGATGTGCCCGCGCAAGTCTTAGAGTATCGTGTGCTCTGTGCAGGTTTTGTGGCTGATTCTGACATTTTTCTTGCAAAACCAGCCAGGAGGAAAAAACGTTCTCTTTCCCCACTTGAGAAAAACAGTTTGTTGTTGCTGGCTGACCCGCCACAGCTATTCTGAAAGCGTAGCTCTCAAGTTGAGCTGTGAGGGTGCACCTGAAATGGCCAAAATGCCATGTAAGTCCTATGCCATCTCCTCTCTGTGGAAGTACTTTGCTGGACATAATTTTCAAAGATAAAACTAATTTTGAAACAGGCCTCTAACTTGATGTCTTGCAAGCCAGTCCTTTTAGGAAAATGTCCCTTTATTGTGCCTGTAAACCTCTCTTTGAAGAGGATGCAACATCACAGACTATGGTCCATTCATACCTCCACCAGGCTCTACTGGAGGACTGAAGCTTTATAATTCACTTAAACTTTTGCAGCCCTCAATGATGAGAACTTCCAGTTTCACTAGTGACATTAATTCACCTGCTGACGTCTAGATATCTAATTGCCCGGGCACCTCATTTTACAGCATGCCCTGAATAGATGACCCATTGAAACGCTGAGATGTGGATGCTGTTTCCTGCAGCGTTCACAGTCTGCCAGCCGCAGCTGCCCAGGCAGCATCGTGTGCTTAGGAAAGGATAAGGCTGAGGTGATCAAAGGATTTCTTATTGCTTGGTTTGCTAAAGACACCTTGGTAGGACTGCAGGGCACGTTTTGTGGAGAATACTTTCTATTCATTGACATTTCCTCTCAAAGAGTAGTAAAATTTTCTGTGTGTGGGTATCTAATATAATAGAACAAAAAGAGTCTGATAAAATCATTCTGCCTTCATCTCAACTCAGTTGTTCATTCAGGTGGTTTCAAAATTTCCTAGATACGTTTCTTATGGAAAAACATTGCGGGAAATGTTGACATTTCAAACTCTTTGTTTTGATTCAGATGGAAAACTTAAAAATTACTCTTTCTTATTAAAAAAAAAATCCCATAGGAATTTTGAGTTTCTGCAAATTTTAGTATCTACTTGCAAAAATTGAGTTTTGACTTTCTTAGGCCTGGAAGGTGTCTGTTCCAATTAACGCCTCCTGTTAGATCGAGAATACAAGTTGCTGTGTAGGTGAGGACGTCACAGCTCTTTGTAGTGGTTTCTTCCAGTGCTTCCACAGCCAAGTGGTTTTTATTCCCATTCTGTTTTCCTGCAGTAATCAAATTGGCAATTGTTTGATTACTGTATTGTTATAACGAAACAGATGCTTGACAATAATCTTTTGATGACCACTATATGTTTTGAAAATCGCAGTAAGTTTAAATATTCCTGACATCACTAAAAGAGAACAGAGACAAGATAAATAGAGGTATGTTAATCTGTTGTATGTTTTCTATCATTAGGTGTGTTAAGGGGAATTTAAACTCTGGCTGAATATCTGACCTCTGCTCTTCTGATCTACCATCACTGAGAACCTGATTCTTTACTGGTGTAGGGGCTGGTCTAATCCTGTAGTTGGTGTAAAATGGACGTAAAACATGCCTGTTTGACTTGCACTGTAGTAAATGGCTACATTTGGTGTCAGGCAGTGGAGGATCACGTTTGAGAATATCTGAGGTGGTAAACCATGTCAGTGAAGTCTTACAATGTCTTCATCATGGTTTATTGGTATTGTTTGATGGATTTTGAGAGCCCGTTTGACCTACACCACAAGAAGTTGGAGCCATGCTTTTTGTACACAAGGGCATACATTGAAACAGATTCAGACTGAGTACAAGGAAGTGTTTATTCACCATGACAGTTGAAAAAAAATTGCCTCAGGGAGGTTGTGCAATTTCCGTCCTTGGAGGTTTTGATGACCAGATAAAACCCAGAGCATCCTCCTGCTCTGACCTCCTGACTGACCGTGCTCTGAGCAGGAGGTGGACTCAAGACCTCCTGAAGCCCCTTCAAACTTGAGTTATTCTATGAGTCTATGATTCTCAGTTTCCCTAAAGTTTCCTAGAACTTGTAAAGGAAGGAAGTGAACTGGGTGTCTCAAACTATAAAACGAACAGCACCATATTATGCAGTTAATCCTATGTAAATGAACGCAGGACTTGATGCGTATGTTGTGTGCATGGTGCCCCTTGTCCATGCCCCCTCCAGTGTCCCGTCAGATGGAAACAACACTGGACTGGCTGTATGGGTGCACCAACGCCGTCAGTCTGCAAGGGCCAGGGCTGTGCCCCTGCGTCCTCTGCAGCACATGAACTGGACTCTTCTTACTGAGGCAACGTTAGATATTTCAGGGTTAGGCTCTCTGTAAATAATTCACATTAAATATATTTGTGTTTTATTCTTGCATGCTGGCTTTTGGATTAGATTTTTCTCACGTATTCCACAAACAGTCTCACACATTTGATATTTAAAAAGGAGAAATGTTAAGAATTCAGGAATGCAGGCACCAAGATGAAATTACAATTTCTTTTGGAACGCCGACAAAAATGTTGGGAGACTGATGAGATTTCCTGTCATATCGGTCTATAAAAACCTGTCCACTGTTTTCTTGTTTTCCTTGGAAAGCCTCAGTATTTTAACTAATTAATTCTCTAATTCCTCACATGCCATTCTTTAGGCATTGCAGGGCAGGTGTCCATTGACGCCAATGGAGACAGATATGGGGATTTCTCTGTGATTGGAATGACGGACCCAGAGGCAGGCACACAGGAGGTAAGGAAACAAACACCATTACTGTTGGCCACTGATGAATTAGACAGTATAATGTAACACCGTATCATCTGTTTACTTCGTGGGCATCTCTTTATTTAATATACACATTAAAATGGTATTGCTTAATCTTATCAACCTGGAGACCAGATCCTTTCTGTAAAATAATTATCTTGAAGTAGTTATCCTAAACTTTTTTTAAACTTAGTTAACTTCTTTTCTTTAACAATACACCTTTCTTTGCAGGATGCTAGTCTTTAAAATTTAAAGGGTGAAACCCCACAAGCTAGCTAAGCACTGATAAATTTTTAATATGAGAAATTATTGTTTAAAATGAGCAATACCTTTTATTTGTTGGTAAGAAGAAAGATTAGTGTTACAGCAACAGGGATGCACAAGTTACCTGGATGTATAAACACAGTGAGTATTTTAATCTTACCCTGTGGTCAGCCACAGGCAGGAGGGCAGACCTTGCTTCGCCTTGTTTATGGGGCAGTAAGATCTGAATGCGTTGTTTTTGATGTTTAAGAGATGTTTTAAGAAGACGGCTCCATATACACCATACAGGTTATAGAATCATAGAGTCATAGAATGGTTAGGGTTGGAAGGGACTGTAAAGATCGTGTAGTTCCAACTCCCCTGCCATGGGCAGGGAAATCCTCCACTACACCAGGTTGCCCAAAGCCTCATCCAACCTGGCCTTGAACACCTTATCCTA